TATTTTTGGGGGCTCATATAATTAATTATATAACAAATCATTAATATCATCAAATTTTTAAAACTGTAATATTTTAAAAAATTTGCATTTATTATAAAATATTTTGAAAAATTTTAAAAAATTGTTTTGAATTTCAAATTTTATTAAGTAATTTCATAAATTTACATTAATAAAAGTTGTTCAGAAAGCAAAACAACTCTCATCAATAATTACTTGTATCAACTTTTTACTGAAAACAAATAGAAAACTCAAGACCAAAAATTAATAGCAATTTGAACTTTTTTTGATATGAACTATTGTCAATGAAGTTTTTAAACATGATATACTGAGAGAGTGTGGTGACATAGAGTAGTGGTTAAGTTGTTATCCTTCAAGCGGCAGGTCTAGAGTTCGATTCCCACCAGAGACATTTTTCAAAAAAATAAGCCTGTGTTCTGGTAACATTTATTTGACGATTGGTTGGGTATATCACTTGTAATCTTGGTATTATCATCTCATTATAGAAGCTTTAGAGCAATCCAAATCCAAGGAACTGGAATATTTAAACCCATTTGGCAAGACCCGAGCTAGGAGTAGTGAAGATCTTTAACGATACTATTGAAAATCAGAACTGGAGACCAAAGAACCAGATGAACAACCCTGGGGCAAGAAGGGTCCACCAACCTAGCCACCGGAGTCGTACCGGAGGAAAAGGTCTGATGCTATAGAATTCAGAACCAAGGGAAGTAAAACCAAAAGGCACTTAGAGCCTAGGTACAACAACCCTTCTGGGCTAACTGGTTTGGTAGTTGGGGAGGGATTGGTATAAGAACCGGTTGAAAGTGGGTATTGGGATCGGAACAAACCTTGTAAAGGCAAGAAGTAGGTAATAGTAGTGGCTACAAAAGTCGCAAGTACCAGTTTTTGGATTGGGTGTAAGTTACCGAAAAACTCAGGTGATATATATATGGAACATGGACCGCTCTGATAGATTTACTACGAGAATAAAGTAGTTCTAAGGGTCTTAGCGGCAGAAACTTTTCTGGAGAAAGCATCTGATGATGCTAAGTTGATCAGAGGGTTTAAATAGGGGATTTACAAATGGATCCTAGGTATGGCAATTGGTGGGTAACTATAAATAGTATAGCGAAGCCCTTAATTAGATAATGACTAAAGTTGTACATATGACCAATTATACTCTTGTTGATGTAACAAAGTCAAGGGGTACCTATTCAGTATCCCGATAATTAAACTGAGAAGTTAATAAACTGTGCCAGACCCCCAAGTGATCATCTTAATATTTAAAAAAAAAAAAAAAAAAAAGATATACTGAGGGTACTACTATCTCGAAATGGAAGCTTTAGGGCAATCTAAATCCAAGGAACCAGAATATTTGAAACCCATTTGGCAAGACCTGAGCTAGAAGTAGTAAAGATCTTTGACGATACTACAAAAAATCAGAACCGGAGACCAAAGAACCGGATGAACAACCCTGGGTCAAGAAGAGTCCACCAACCTGGCCGCCAAAATCGCACCAGAGGAAAAGGTCTGATGTTACGGAATTTAGAACCAAAAAAAGTAAAACCAGAAAGCACTTAGAGCCTAGATATAACAACTCTTCTGGGCTAACTGGTTTGATAGTTGGGGAGGAATCAGGATCAGAATGAACCTTGTAAGGGCAAGGAGTAGGTAATGATAGTGGCCACAAAAACCGCAAGTACCAGTCCTTAGATTGGGCGTAAGTTACTAAAAAACCCAGGTGATACATATGTAGGATATGGACCGCTCTGGTAGGTTTACCACGAGAATAAGTAGTCCTAAAGGGCCTTAGCAGCAGGAATTCTTTTGGAGAAAACATCTGGCAGCACTAAACGATCAAAGGGTTTAAATAGAGGATCCACAAGCAGATCCTAGGTATGGCAATTGGTGAATAACTATAGATAGTATAGTGGAGCCCTTAAATAGACAATAACTAAAGTTGTACGTATAACCAATTGTACTCTTGTTGATATAACAAAGTCAAGGGGTGCCTATTCGGCATCCTGATAATTGAACTGAGAAGTTAATAAACTGTGCTAAACCCCAAAGTGGTCACCTTAATATTAAAAAAAAAATATATATATAATATACTGAGAAATAGATATTTTGAATAGTTTGCAAAAAGTTAAGCCTTGTTTTTTCTTTTGTTAGATAGCTTTTTTTTGTATTTAGCATCCAAACTGGAGTTCTGAAAACAGTAAGTAGAAAGAAGACTCAAATTAGTTTGGGAACTGAAGGCTATAAAAAATTCTTGAAAAAATACTCTTTGGTTGAAAAATTTGCAAAACTACAATATTTCTTTGTTACTTTTGTTTTATATAATTTCTATCAAAAGTAGAGAATTTGGTTATCTTTTACAAAAGATTGATATTGTTTATCATTTCTATTTTCAAAAAGTTTTGAGTTAGAATATAGTGAATAAAGAATATAATAATTATATATAAAGAAAAAATTCTGTTTAGTTATATCAGATTACAAGATATAGATTCTAGATTTTGATCATTAGAAAAGAATATTTTTCTGAAATGCTATAGGAAGTAACTTTCAATAATCAGGTGATCAAAAAAGAAGACCTCCTGTTGAATCTTATATAACATAAAGGCAAAGTTCAAAGTGAAGAACTGTAAGAGGACTGACTTGAGAAAATGTGTCTCAGAATCAATGATCACATGTCAAGATTTTAAAATTAGTATTCTAGAATTCAAAATAGATTTAAAGAAGAGTTGTAAACTAGAGCAATATATTAGAGATATGTAATATTTTGAAATCATATACATATAATTTTTAGTCCTTAATATAGGCTAAAGTATATATTAGTTTATAATTTTTTTTTGTTAGAAAACTTTATATATAGATTTCTATAATTATATAAATAGTTTTTTATCTAGTTAGCAGTTTTTATATCTGTAAATAAATTCTTTTAGATTTTAGAATAGTCTTTAACTTCTTTATATTTTAGTCATTTTCTTATATATTTGTTTTTTTTTTACTTTTCTATTTTCATTTTACTCATATCTTTTTTTTCTTTTTTTACTTCTCTATAAAAAAGTATTATCAGATTGGCAGTACTCTATTGTAGAATAGTGATTTTGACAAAGTTGGTAAAAGCTATCTATTAATATCTGAAGCTCATATTCTTAGAAAGTTGAGGATCTCAAAAGAAAAAAAATTGGTTACTTAGATAAGTTGCTTCTAGACAAGGTTCAAACTAAAGAACTGTAAGAGGACTAGCTTGAAAAGATGTATCTCGAAATTAATGATTATATGTTAAGACTTTAAAATTAGTATTCTAAAATTTAAAATGGATTTAAAGAAGAGTTGTAAACTAGAGCAATATATTAAAAATATACAATATTCTGAAGTTATATATATATAATTTTTATAATTTTTTTTGTTAGATAGCTTTACATATAGATTTCTATAATTATATAGATAGTTTTTTATCTAATTAGCAGGTTTTATATCTGAAGATAAGTTCTTTAGATTTTAAAATAGTCTTTAACTCCTTTATATTTTAGTTATTTTCTTATATGTTTTTTTATTTTTTATTTTTTATTTTCATTTTATTCATTTCTCTTTTTTTTTTTTTTTTTACTTCTCTACAAGAAAGTGTCATCAAATTGGCAATATTCTATTGTAAAACAGTGATTCTGACAAGATTAATAAAAGCTATCTGTTGATATCTGAGCTTATATCCTTAGAAAATTAGGAATTCTAGAAAGAAAAAAATTGTTTATTTAGAGAAGTTGTTTCTAGGTCATACTCTAGTATAAATTTAGAGTTTTTCTTATTTTTACTATTCCTTCATATGTTATGCAGGCAAATTTGTCTGCAAAAATAAGTTTTTGGTTTATAATAAAAAATCTATATTAAATAAACCCCCCTACAAAAGTTATATATATATGATTTTTATGTTTTGTATTATACTCGAAATAAAGTGCTAGTTGTATAAATGCATCCCTAGTGATTATGTACTAATCAAAAATCACCAATTGTTTAATTATAAAAAGCAATGATCTACGATATTAATACATAACAAAGCTTTTTTTTTTTTTTTTTTTTTGCACCATTTTAATCATATATTAAAAAAATATTTGTATGTTCGAAGAATTTTTTTTAAACTTGTTTTAAGTCTTCGATTACTGGATTATGAATAATAGAAATTATATTATAACGGTAATAATAATTGTTCATTTTGCTCAATACAAGTTTTTATGGATTTGTTTTTTTATTATTTACCTTATTGAATAGATTAATTGTTATCTTATTAATATGTTTATTGTTTGATTGAAAGGTCTTAAATGAATTACTAAAAAAAAAAAAGAAGTTATAAGACAATTTTTTTTTTTTAATAAAAAAGTCGTAAGACATTTTTTTTTAAAAAAAAAAAAAAGCCGTAAGACAATTTTTTTTAAAAAAAAATTAGATTTTGCTTATAAGTTATATCAAATACGATCTGTAAGTTTTTTTTATTATTAATTAAAATTTAATTTAATACTTTTTTTAAACTTTTTTTATTTTTCAGATTTCAATGCAAGAAAATATTACAAACCTACCTGATGAATTATCTGATAAATACGTTGTTTTATTTTTATCTCAGCTGATAAATTTTTAGAAGAGTTTAACGAAGTTGAGAATCCTGTAAATATAGATAATATATCTACAGAACTAGAACAAACAGTAATTAGTAAAGAAAGCAAAAAAAAAAGTACTAGAGGAAAAGGTCGAAATAAGGGTGAAAAAATAGTTCAAGTTCTGAGAAAAAAGCTGCAATTTTTGCGCAATTACCTAAACCATCTAGTTTTGATACTTTAGTTCACAATATGCCTTATTATAAAATAAAGGCTATGTAATGTTACTAAAAATTTATTCAGATTGTGATATTTCTCCTTATAGATTAATTAGACTTTTTTTTTCACAAAATATTCTTACAACTATCATATTAAATATAAATGAATATGCTCAAAAAAAATGCTAATGCAATGGGACAGGTATGGACACCACTAACATTAGATGAACTAAAAATTTGGTTGGAAATTGTTATTTATATAGATATAATTAAATTACCAAGAGTAACCGATTATTGGACCATTAATCCTAAATTTCCTAAATATTACATTATACAAGAAATGTTTGTAATTCGTTTTCAACAAATTAAGCAATACTTGCATATTTCAAATCCTAATTCTGAAAATTCTTATTGGTACAGTAAGGTTAAACCACTTGCTTCTCATATTAAAAATATTAGTAAGCAACTTTATGTGCCCAGGTCACAAATATCAGTTAATAAAATGATGATATATTTTTCAGATCAAAGTAGTCATACTTTTCGTATAAAAAACAAACCTATTCCTGAAGAGTATAAGGTTATGTCTTTATGCAAAAAAGGTTATATTTACACATTTACTTTTGAATCACATATTGTAAATAATAGTGAAATTACAATTATTCCTGGTCTTAATAAAACTGAATCGCTTGTATCATATCTTATTACTCAACTACCAAGAGGCATGCATATAATATATATATAGATAACTATTTTACAAGAATTTCACTTTTTTATTATTTAAGAACAAAAGGTTATGGAGCTTGTGGTACAGTACGAACAAATTCTTCAATATTTTCTAAAATATTAAAATTTGAAAAATCTGTTCATTTAGATTAGAATATTTTATCTGATGTTATTGTAAATGATGTTTTAGTAATACTATGGTAGATAATGGTCCAGTCTATATACTTTCTACTATTCATAGTATTAAGGATGATAAATAGAAAATTCCTACAATATGTCACAAACCACGATCAACTAGTACAAATGCAACAAATGTACAAAAAATTTTTGGTGAAGCATCCTGAAAAGAAATCTTAATTCCAAAGATTATTAATGATTATAATCATTTTATGGGTAGTGTTGATACAGCAGATCAATTTAGATCATATTATAATTGTCAAATTACTTCTTTGCATAATTGGTTGCTACTTATGTTTTGGTTAATTGATATAGCAATTGTAAATTCATATATTATTTATAAACAAAAAGTAATTTAACTTAAATACTTTATTAAATTATCTATTTTAATTAAAAATTAATTACTTTTATTAACAAACTATTAAATTTATAGATGGAACTTTAAATCATAAAAAATTTCACTTACAAATTGTATGGGATTTTATTGAAGATATATAGGTGAAAGACAAAAACTTAAAAATAAGCAAAGCTCTAAAGTAAAATTATATGAAAACTCAGCTCCAATTATTAATAAAAACTTTAAATTATCATCAACTTGGTTTTCTGGTATAAATCACTATCCTGAATGGCAAGAAAATCATGCTGCATGTGCTTGGTACTGATGGAAAGCTAAATTTAACAATAATCAAATCAATAAAAAAATTTTCTCTCAAAGCCAAATCTGGTATACTCAATGCAATGTTGAACTTTGTTATAACAAATCATGTTCTTTATGTTTTAAGAAATATCATACCTATATTGATAAAGAATAGAATATATAAAACTAATTTTTAAAAATTTATTTTTTAAAAATTTAAAAAATAAGATTTTTTATTATATTTGATAACTTTAAATAAAATATATTAATTTTATTAATTTTATTATAAATTAAATATTATATATTTCGAAACTTAAAAAATAAATATATAAATAAATTTTAAGACTATATATAATAAAAAAATTTAAAATATTAAAATTTTTCATTTTTTTTCTTTTTTTTTATTATAAATTAACTAATTTTAAACTTACATAATTAATTTAAGATATAAATAAATTTAAAAAATTTTAAGTTAAAAAAAATTATTAAATCTAAATTAACAAATTTTATTAATTAATTAAAATAATATAGATATTATAACTTTTTGCAGGCAAATTTGCCTGCAAACTCTTAACAAATGAAGGGATAATAATGAGACAGATCGAAAGATTCTTTATTTGTACAAATATATAGTATTTTTGATAGATAATGTAGGTTTAGCTAACTAAGATATCTTGTTGTAAGTTGCTACTAATTTAAAAAATAAAAAAAAGATTACTGAAGTAAAAAAGTTGTTCAAAAGTTATTCTGATTATAATAGTAGTTAAATTATCAAAATTGATTAGATATTCACCAAGATAGCTAAATTATTTAATAAATTTTAAATTTTAAAGTAATTTTTTAAAGGATTTAATCATTTATCATATATGTGATTTATCGCACCTTATAAGATTTGGTGTAATGTGAAATCAAAACAATAAAATTAATTTGTTAATTTAGGGTTAGAGTGAGGGTTAGTTTAGAGTTAGGGTAGAGTGCTTTAGTAAATAGATTCTAATCTAAAATTTTGAGAGGAATTTTTTTTGTTAAAGCACAAGAGATGGTTTTATAAACAAAATTTCATACTATAACCAATTTTTGAAAAAAATTCATAATCATATTAATTTTACATTATACCTGATTCTGCATTCTAATTGGTTAATCAGAGGTGGCAATACATCACTATAGTGATAAATTATAAAACCCTTTATTTGAACAGGAATATAGTAGTATAGTGATTTGTATATAGATTTAGCTAACTGAGACAATTTATAATCTACTT